CGTAAAATTTTGTTCCGAACAACATTTGAAGTGCTTTCGATGAATTTCTAGCTTATCTTTTGGAAAAATCGAACAAGTCATTTTTTGAAAAAACTCATGACCCCAGACCTGTAAAAAAGTTCAAAAATATGAAAATTTTGAAAAAATTTTTTTTGACTCGAAACAACCTGAAATACGTGAATTTATGTTCCGAACAACATTTGAAGCGTTTTTGATGAATTTCTAGCTTATATTTTGGAAAAATCGAACAAGCCATTTTTTGAAAAATCTCATGACCCCGGACATGTAAAAAAGTTCAAAAATCTGAAAATTTTGAAAATTTTTTTTTTGACTCGAAGCAACCTGAAATCTGTGAATTTATGTTCCGAACAACATTTGAAGTGCTTTAGATGAATTTCTAGCCTATCTTTTGGAAAAATCGAACAAGTCATTTTTTGAAAAAACTCATGACCCCGGACCTGTAAAAAAGTTCAAAAATATGAAAATTATGAAAATTTTTTTTTTGACTCAAAATAACCTGAAATACGTGAATTTATGTTCCGAACAACAATTGAAGTGCTTTCGATGAATTTCTAGCTTATATTTTAGAAAAATCGAACAAGTCATTTTTTGAAAAAACTCATGACCCCGGACCTGTAAAAAAGTTCAAAAAGCTGAAAATTTTGAAAAAATTTGTATTGACCCGAAACAACCTGAAATACGTAAAATTTTGTTCCGAACAACATTTCAAACGTTTTCGATGAAATTCTAGCTTATATTTTGGAAAAATCGAACAAGTCATTTTTTGAAAAAACTCATGACCCCAGACCTGTAAGAAAGTTAAAAAATCTGAAAATTTTGAAAAAAATTTTTTGGACTCGAAACAACCTGACATACGTGAATTTATGTTCTGAACAACATTTGAAGCGTTTTTGACAAATTTCTAGCTCATATTTTGGAAAAATCTAACCAGTCATTGTTTGAAAAAACTCATGACCCTGGACCTGTAAAAAGTTTAAAAATCTGAAAATTTTGAAAATTTCTTTTTTGACTCGAAACAACCTGAAATACGTGAATTTATGTTCTGAACAACATTTGAAGCGTTTTTGACAAATTTCTAGCTCATATTTTGGAAAAATCTAACCAGTCATTGTTTGAAAAAACTCATGACCCTGGACCTGTAAAAAGTTCAAAAATCTGAAAATTTTGAAAATTTATTTTTTGACTCGAAACAACCTGAAATACGTGAATTTATGTTCCGAACAACATTTGAAGTGCTTTCGGCGAATTTCTAACTTATATTTTGGAAAAATCGAACAATGTCATTTTTTGAAAAATCTCATGACCCCGGACATGTAAAAAATATCAAAAATCTGAAAATTTTGAACATTTTTTTTTTGACTCGAAGCAACCTGAAATCCGTGAATTTATGTTCCGAACAACATTTGAAGTGCTTTCGATGAATTTCTAGCCTATCTTTTGGAAAAATCGAACAAGTCATTTTTTGAAAAAACTCATGACCCCGGACCTGTAAAAAAGTTCAAAAATATGAAAATTTTGAAAAATTTTTGTTTGACTCGAAACAACCTGAAATACGTGAATTTATGTTTCGAACAACATTTGAAGCGTTTTTGTCGAATTTCTAGCTCATAATTTGAAAAAAGTGAACAATGTCATTTTTTGAAAAAATTCATGACCTGAAACCTGTGGAGAATTTCAGAGATTTGAAAATTTTGAAAAAGATTAGTTAGTTAGATATTATCAATGTGATATGCATACCTTTCTTTTTTTACTTGACAGTTTTAGTTTGAGCTTCAATGTGTTATCTGAAAAAAATGAAACGGATGATGAATTTCTAGCTCATATTTTGGAAAAATCGAACAAGGTCATTTTTTGAAAAAACTTATGACCCCGGACCTGTAAAAAAATTCAAAAATCTGAAAATTTTGAAAATTTCTTTTTTGACTCGAAACAACCTGACATACGTGAATTTATGTCCTAAACAACATTTGAAGCGTTTTTGACAAATTTCTAGCTCATATTTTGGAAAAATAGAACAAGGTCATTTTTTGAAAAAACTCATGACCCCGGACCTGTAAAAAAGTTCAAAAATCTGAAAATTTTGAAAAAATTTGTTTTGACCCGAAACAACCTGAAATACGTAAAATTTTGTTCCGAACAACATTTCAAGCGTTTTTGATGAATTTTTAGCTCATATTTTGGAAAATGGAACAAGGTCATTTTTTGAAAAAACTCATGACCCCGGACCTGTAAAAAAGTTCAAAAACCTGAAAATTTTGAAAAAATTTGTTTTGACCCGAAACAACCTGAAATACGTGAATTTGCGTTTCTAACAACATTTGAAGCGTTTTTGACAAATTTCTAGCTCATATTTTGGAAAAATAGAACAAGGTCATTTTTTGAAAAAACTCATGACCCCGGACCTGTAAAAAAGTTCAAAAATCTGAAAATTTTGAAAAAATTTGTTTTGACTCGAAACAAACTGAAATACGTGTATTTATGTTCCGAACAACATTTGAAGCGTTTTTGACAAATTTCTAGCTCATATTTTGGAAAAATCGAACAAGGTCATTTTTTGAAAAAACTCATGACCCCGGACCTGTAAAAAATTTCAAAAATCTGAAAATTTTGAAAAAATTTGTTTTGCCCCGAAACAACCTGAAATACGTAAAAATTTTTTCCGAAGAACATTTCAAGCGTTTTCGATGAATTTTTAGCTCATATTTTGGAAAAATCGAGCATGGTCAGTTTTTGAAAAAACTCATGACCCCGGACCTGTAAAAATTTTCAAAAACCTGAAAATTTTGAAAAACATTTTATTGAGCCGAAAAAAACTGAAATACGTGAAATTTTCTTCCGAACAACATTTCAAGCGTTTTCAATGAATTTCTAGCTCATATTTTGGAAAATGGAATAAGGTCATTTTTTGAAAAAACTCATGACCCCGGACCTGTAAAAAAGTTCAAAAACCTGAAAATTTTGAAAACATTTGTTTTGACCCAAAACAACCTGAAAGACGTGAAATTTTGTTCCGAACAACATTTCAAGCGTTTTCTATGAATTTCTAGCTCATATTTTGGAGAATCGAACAAGGTCATTTTTTGAAAAAACTCATGACCCCGGACCTGTAAAAAAGTTCAAAAATCTGAAAATTTTGAAAAAATTTGTTTTGCCCCGAAACAACCTGAAATACGTAAAATTTTGTTCCGAAGAACATTTCAAGCGTTTTCGATGAATTTTTAGCTCATATTTTGGAAAAATCGAGCATGGTCAGTTATTGAAAAAACTCATGACCCCGGACCTGTAAAAATTTTCAAAAACCTGAAAATTTTGAAAAACATTTTATTGAGCCGAAAAAAACTGAAATACGTGAAATTTTGTTCCGAACAACATTTCAAGCGTTTTCAATGAATTTCTAGCTCATATTTTGGAAAATGGAATTAGGTCATTTTTTGAAAAAACTCATGACCCCGGACCTGTAAAAAAGTTCAAAAACCTGAAAATTTTGAAAACATTTGTTTTGACCCGAAACAACCTGAAATACGTGAAATTTTGTTCCGAACAACATTTCAAGCGTTTTCCATGAATTTCTAGCTTATATTTTGAAAAAATCGGACAAGTCATTTTTTGAAAAAAACTCATGACCCCGGACCTGTAAAAAAGTTCAAAAATCTGAAAATTTTAAAAAAAATTTTTTTGAGTCGAAACAACCTGAAATACGTGAATTTATGTTCTGAACAACATTCGAAGTGTTTTCAATGAATTTCTAGCTTATATTTTGAAAAAATCGGACAAGTCATTTTTTGAAAAAACTCATGACCCCGGACCTGTAAAAAAGTTCAAAAATATGAAAATTTTGAAAAAAAATTTTTTGACTCGAAACAAACTGAAATACGTGAATTTATGTTCCGAACAACATTTGAAGCGTTTTTGATGAATTTTTAGCTCATATTTTGGAAAAATCGAGCATGGTCAGTTTTTGAAAAAACTCATGACCCCGGACCTGTAAAAATTTTCAAAAACCTGAAAATTTTGAAAAACATTTTATTGAGCCGAAACAAACTGAAATACGTGAAATTTTGTTCCGAACAACATTTCAAGCGTTTTCAATGAATTTCTAGCTCATATTTTGGAAAATGGAATAAGGTCATTTTTTGAAAAAACTCATGACCCCGGACCTGTAAAAAAGTTCAAAAATATGAAAATTTTGAAAAAATTTGTTTTGACCCGAAACAACCTGAAATACGTAAAATTTTGTTCCGAACAACATTTCAAGCGTTTTCGATGAATTTTTAGCTCATATTTTGGAAAAATCGAACATGGTCAGTTTTTGAAAAAACTCATGACCCCGGACCTGTAAAAATTTTCAAAAACCTGAAAATTTTGAAAGACATTTTATTGAGCCGAAACAAACTGAAATACGTGAAATTTTGTTCCGAACAACATTTCAAGCGTTTTTGACAAATTTCTAGCTCATATTTTGGAAAAATCGAACAAGGTCATTTTTTGAAAAAACTCATGACCCCGGACCTGTAAAAAAGTTCAAAAATATGAAAATTTTGAAAAATTTTTTTTTGACTCGAAACAAACTGAAATACGTGTATTTATGTTCCGAACAACATTTGAAGCGTTTTCAATGAATTTCTAGCTTATAATTTGAAAAAATCGGACAAGTCATTTTTTGAAAAAACTCATGACCCCGGACCTGTAAAAAAGTTCAAAAATCTGAAAATTTTGAAAACATTTGTTTTGACCCGAAACAACCTGAAATACGTGAAATTTTGTTCCGAACAACATTTCAAGCGTTTTCTATGAATTTCTAGCTTATATTTTAAAAATCGAACAAGTCATTTTTTGAAAAAACTCATGACCCCGGACCTGTAAAAAAGTTCAAAAATCTGAAAATTTTAAAAAAAATTTTTTTGAGTCGAAACAACCTGAAATACGTGAATTTATGTTCTGAACAACATTTGAAGCGTTTTTGACAAATTTCTAGCTCATATTTTGGAAAAATCGAACAAGGTCATTTTTTGAAAAACTCATGACCCCAGACCTGTAAAAAAGTTGAAAAATCTGAAAATTTAAAAAAAAATTTTTTTGACTCGAAACAATCTGAAATACGTGAATTTATGTTCCGAACAACAATTGAAGCGTTTTTGACGAATTTCTAGCTCATAATTTGAATAAATTGAACAATGTCTTTTTTTGAAAAAATTCATGACCTGAAACCTGTGGAGAATTTCAGAGATTTGAAAATTTTGAAAATGATTAGTTAGTTGGATATAATCAATGTGATATGCATACCTTTCTTTTTTTACTTGACAGTTTTGTTTTGAGCTTCAATGTGTTATCTGAAAAAATGAAACGGATGATGAATTTCTAGCTCATATTTTGGAAAAATCGAACAAGGTCATTTTTTGAAAAAACTCATGACCCCGGACCTGTAAAAAAGTTCAAAAATATGACAATTTTGAAAAAATTTTTCTTGACTCGAAACAACCTGAAATACGTGAATTTATGTTCTGAACAACATTTCAAGCGTTTTCTATGAATTTCTAGCTTATATTTTAAAAACATCGGACAAGTCATTTTTTGAAAAAACTCATGACCCCGGACCTGTAAAAAAGTTCAAAAATCTGGAAATTTTAGAAAAAAATTTTTTGAGTCGAAACAACCTGAAATACGTGAATTTATGTTCTGAACAACATTCGAAGTGTTTTCAATGAATTTCTAGCTTATATTTTGAAAAAATCGGACAAGTCATTTTTTGAAAAAACTCATGACCCCGGACCTGTAAAAAAGTTCAAAAATATGAAAATTTTGAAAAATTTTTTTTTGACTCGAAACAAACTGAAATACGTGAATTTATGTTCCGAACAACATTTGAAGCGTTTTTGACAAATTTCTAGCTCATATTTTGGAAAAATCGAACAAGGTCATTTTTTGAAAAAACTCATGACCCCGGACCTGTAAAAAAGTTCAAAAATCTGAAAATTTTGAAAAAATTTGTTTTGCCCCGAAACAACCTGAAATACGTAGAATTTTGTTCCGAACAACATTTCAAGCGTTTTCGATGAATTTTTAGCTCATATTTTGGAAAATGGAACAAGGTCATTTTTTGAAAAAACTCATGACCCCGGACCTGTAAAAGAGTTCAAAAACCTGAAAATTTTGAAAACATTTGTTTTGACCCGAAACAACCTGAAATACGTAAAATTTTGTTCCGAACAACATTTCAAGCGTTTTCGATGAATTTTTAGCTCATATTTTGGAAAATGGAATAAGGTCATTTTTTGAAAAAACTCATGACCCCGGACCTGTAAAAAAGTTCAAAAACTTGAAAATTTTGAAAAAACTTGTTTTGACCCGAAACAACCTGAAATACGTAAAATTTTATTCCGAACAACATTTCAAGCGTTTTCGATGAATTTTTAGCTCATATTTTGGAAAAATCGAACATGGTCAGTTTTTGAAAAAACTCATGACCCCGGACCTGTAAAAATTTTCAAAAACCTGAAAATTTTGAAAAACATTTTATTGAGCCGAAACAAACTGAAATACGTCAAATTTTGTTCCGAACAACATTTCAAGCGTTTTCTATGAATTTCTAGCTTATATTTTGAAAAAATCGGACAAGTCATTGTTTGAAAAAACTCATGACCCCGGACCTGTAAAAAAGTTCAAAAATCTGAAAATTTTAAAAAAAAATTTTTTGAGTCAAAACAACATGAAATACGTGAATTTATGTTCTGAACAACATTCGAAGTGTTTTCAATGAATTTCTAGCTTATATTTTGAAAAAATCGGACAAGTCATTTTTTGAAAAAACTCATGACCCCGGACCTGTAAAAAAGTTCAAAAACCTGAAAATTTTGAAAAAATTTGTTTTGACCCGAAACAACCTGAAATACGTAAAATTTTGTTCCGAACAACATTTCAAGCGTTTTCGATGCATTTTTAGCTCATATTTTGGAAAAATCGAACATGGTCAGTTTTTGAAAAAACTCATGATCCCGGACCTGTAAAAATTTTCAAAAACCTGAAAATTTTGAAAGACATTTTATTGAGCCGAAACAAACTGAAATACGTGAAATTTTGTTCCGAACAACATTTCAAGCGTTTTCGATGAATTTCTAGCTTATATTTTGGAAACATCGGACAAGTCATTTTTTGAAAAAACTCATGACCCCGGACCTGTAAAAAAGTTCAAAAATATGAAAATTTTGAAAAAATTTTTCTTGACTCGAAACAACCTGAAATACGTGAATTTATGTTCTGAACAACATTTCAAGCGTTTTCTATGAATTTCTAGCTCTTATTTTGGAAAAATGGAACAAGGTCATTTTTTGAAAAAACTCATGACCCCGGACCTGTAAAAAAGTTCAAAGACCTGAAAATTTTGAAAATTTTTTTTTTGACTCGAAACAACCTGAAATACGTGAATTTATGTTCCGAACAACATTCGAAGTGTTTTCAATGAATTTCTAGCTTATATTTTAAAAAAATCGGACAAGTCATTTTTTGAAAAAACTCATGACCCCGTCCGGACCTGTAAAAAAGTTCAAAAATATGAAAATTTTGAAAAATTTTTTTTTGACTCGAAACAACCTGAAATACGTGAATTTATGTTCCGAACAACATTCGAAGTGTTTTCAATGAATTTCTAGCTTATATTTTGAAAAAATCGGACAAGTCATTTTTTGAAAAAACTC